GGAATGTTAAAACATCAGTGTAAATACCAATTACCAACGTTTGTTTACACATAAACATAATACCAGGTCAGAGTGTATTTTGATAAAACATAGTTTAGTAGCTATCATAGTTTAGTTTATCTATAATTACAATCATTATAATATCTAAGTCAATGTAAGTTATTACAAAATTTGACTTGCGATACCTTTCACCTCATGATGTTTTGTCTTGTATTAAACGATAATTAAATATAAATCATACATCAAAATTGTCTTCACAGAAGTATAGTTTAGATTTTGTAGACAATGCCTTCGGGTCTCTTCTTACCAGTTTTAACCAAGTGTTTCTCATATTTAAATCAGTTGGCACTTTAATCCATAACTTTCCCAGCGTTCTTATGCTCGTATTTTTGCATTCAGGCACAACACAACAATTATTTACATGATAACTTATTATTAAATATTAAAAAGTATATTATTCCTTTGCAAAATCGGCAGAATCGACGACTATGACGTCACGAGTTGAACAACATGGCGGCTAGCGTTTTCATGCGAAATTTTAAAATGATGGATTAAGGCGAGTTCTTAGCACGATTTCAAATTCGTTTTTCACCCGCGCCTCCCGCAGTGGGCGGAGCGCAACCGGCAGTCGGAGAGCGCCGCGTGAACACAGTATGCGCAAAGCAAGCAGACAATTCAGTTCCAAACAAAAACTTTTCCGCGAGGTCTACTGTTCTCAACACTACTAGGTATTATAGTAATAATATTTTGAGTACCTACACACTAATAACAAAACTGTTTAACAATATCGGTAGTCTGGACATCATACTACATTTTAATTATCAATATTTTTTTAAAGTCAGTTTTATGATATGAGCAGGTACTTAGATTATTATTTATTATTTACATACATAAACATTTAAAACGCCAACTCACAAATTCTAAAAAAGCCCAAGTTTCGTTGGCAAAATAGCTAAAATAAGAGAAAAAGAATAGTTTCAAATAAAACCATTAGAAAATTCAAATTAATTTTGACTTAATGGAGTGTACTTTGGTAATCGGCACTGGAACAGGTCGCCGAGTACTACTAGATGTGCCGAGTTTGGGCTCGTTTTATTAGGTATGACAAGCCCTTACCTCCGGACTTGACGGAGTGACCTGAAGGTGTACTTTGGTAATCGGTATTGGAACAGGTCGCCGAGTACTACTAGGTGTGCCGAGTTTGGGCTCGTTTTGTTATGTATGACGAGCCCTTACCTCCGGACTTGACGGAGTGACCTGAAGGTGTACTTTGGTAATCGGTATTGGAACAGGTCGCCGAGTACTACTAGGTGTGCCGAGTTTCCGCAGCTGAAAGGTTATGAAGGCCAGTCTTTTTTTAAAGAATAAGGGTGACAAACGAGCACACAGTCCACCTGATGCCAAGTGGATGCTGTGGCCCATATAAATCTACATATATCGTCGATTAAGAATCAAAACGCAGATGCGTTGTCACCCCTGAGGACTAAGATGGAATGCCTTGTTTCCAGTAAAAAAGGGTCTCCGGATCTCTACACTCACCATACGAAACACAGCAGTATTAAGCTGCTATTTTACGCTGGTATTTCCCCGGTCGAGCCGACCCATTCGTGATACAACCATAATATATCTGCAGTGTGGCCCTAACACGTGTGTCACGTACCACGTACCAGTCTGCAGCCCCGTCATGAATGGACCCGACTTGGGCAAAGTTACTTAGGTGTGAGTCAAACCAAGACGCAGAATAGCGACCCGCTTAGCAACCATCGCAGAGACGCATCAATATGACTATCGTCGGGCTTACACTATCCTAAGTTCCCCCATACAATCCCAGTAAAAATCACCACTAGTATACCTCCATCGACGAGATCCACAAGATGCGTCGAATCAGGCGCAACATACCTGCAAATCCATCACAAGACGCAATACCGCAAGTAGCAGTAAGCATCAATCATACGGATGGCGCACCCTCACAACACACCCACAAGTTCCCTATCAACATCGGCAATAAAATTGTTATTGTTTACTAAAAATTGCATCAAAGTATCATAGTAGCACGCTACTATCGATCGATAAGCTACGCCAAGTAACCAGTTGCTGTTTAAATGTGTGTACATGCTATCTTTACAAAAGATTTTTTTAAGTAAAAAGCAGCTTATACTGTGTTGCTGGTCAGTAATGGAACCAGCGATTTACAAAGAGCCAGCAACAAAATACAATCGATCTATAAGCTGGGCTAAGTAATTGTAGTGTACGCTATCTTTACTTAAAACGTTATTGAAGATGTTAACCCCGACAATGTTTACAATATGGACGAAAACGGATTCCATGATGACCCTGGAAAAGAAAACTTTTATTCAGACGTTCCACTCGCCATCCGGAACTGGTAAAAAATTCTGGTAAATCACATTTCACAATAGTATTTGCTGGTAATGCTATTGAAGACATCCTCTTCCCCATTATTTATATTTAAGGGGAAACATTGTTAGTCATACTGGTTAATTATTGCTCCCAAATCATCAAAAATGGCGTTCTCCAAGTCGGGGTCGATGCACGCTCAGTATTTGTCGTCTACAAGGGACAACTCTTGTTCATCCCATGCAGGTTTCGGGCCTCGGGGTATTTCCCATTACCCGGGTAATCCTCACAGCCCTTTTCTATGGGCCGGTCCTGGGAGCCGTACATTGTATGACATTGTAGGTAATCTGCTTTGGCGTATTGCGCGCCGCCAGGTAGGTGCTTCCGGAGGGTCAGCAGTCTCGAAGCCCCGCGGAGCCCCGCGAACAGGGAGTTGACGCAGGGCCAATCCTGCCGACAGGTGTGCGCTCCTGATAGCAGCACTCCGGGCCTCCAGTGCTCCTCCCTGGCTCTAGGTTAAGGCCTGGTGTTTTACTAGGCAGAAGTTGGCGTATCTCGCGCCTCTGGGAAGGGATCTGCCGAAGGGTCAGCAACCTCCAGGTCCCGCGGAGACGCATCTCGACGCGGAGCCGAAGTCACCAACAGGCGCGCGCTCTCCTAGCAGCACGCCGGGCCTTCGGAGTTCGCTTCCCAGCATAGTAGGTTATACGCAGCTTTGGGTATGTAACGTCCCGGGAGGGGTCAGGGGCGTCCTCGAGGCTCGACGCAAGCCGAGTTGACCCCACAGCACGTGTACCCACTTCTCCCACCCGGGCGGGAGCCGACGACCGACGGACGTGACCGGATGCTAACGCGGTCCGGACGCAACTCGGGATGGACGCAAACATATTTTAAGAATATCTAAAGCCGGCTATACCTGTTGGCCGAGCAAAAGCGCGTACCAACGTATAGACAGTCCATTTGTCCAACCTCGTCATTGCTCGTCGATGCTCGTCTAGCTGGCCGAGTGCAGGCGAACGCCAACGTGTATACGGTTCGTTGGGAATGCCTTGCCGCCACTCGGTATCGCTCGCTACGACTCGAGCACTTCGGAACAGTGTCGGTTTTTCTGCCCAAATCAAAATCGCCTGAACTCGGCAAGTCTCGTCTACATGTTATGGTTACAGCTTGGCGTCCGTCCCGGTGAGATATTGATTTCATTAAGTTGCAACTTTAAAATAATTTCGACAATGTCACTATGCTAACGAAGACATCTTTAATCTTTTTTAACTTTACTGCGGAGTACACTGACATAATAATTATATGCACTTATTTAATAAATAGCAGAATGTGCAATAACTTTTACGTCGTCCATATCATACCAATTCTCAATGACTACTTCCAAGTATACAAAAAGTACTCTGTGTCCAGAGCAGACTGACGCAATCCGTATCGCAGAAACACTACACGCGAAATATTTATCACGATTCTTGGATCGCGATGTGGATTCGGAAATCTAGAAATTCTGTGATCCGCATCGCGATCCATCAATTCTTGATGCTACACGTTCAATAAATATCACGATCCTGGATCGCATTCGCCTCTGTCTACGTCTATTATCTACATTCTTTATTTGACACTTAGTATACAGTTATCTATGAATCGTTTGGCACGCAAGCACGTGGGGGAGTTCTGGCGGGAACTTGGCCGTAGACGGATTGCCGCTCCTGTTTTTTCGCTTGAATAATGGTTTGAAGTGGATTTTGATTCGTAAAAGTGATGCGATTTTGTAAATTAAGTGTGCGCGCGTATGAAATATTAGAGAAAACGACAAAACAAGTGCTTTGATGTCGATAAAAACCTCAAGTTATTTTGATCGCTTGGGCGCCTTATGAACTTGTGTGGCTGTCGTCATCAAATATCAACTGGGTTGAGCTGTCGTCAAAATCTCCCAAGGGCTTCGCAATGACACGCGTCAGGATATTGTGAAGAAAAGGAATATAAAAATAAAGATTCCGAAAGAAATGATAAGCTCAGAAGGGCTAGAACCCAGAGCCGTAAAGCCAGTTAATAAAAAAAAGCAAGCACGTGGGTTTTTGGCGGGAACTGGGCCGTCGACGGACTGTCGCTCCTGTTTCGTCGCTTGAATAATGGTTTGAAGTGGATTTTAATTCGTAAAAGTGATGTGATTTTGTGAATTAAGTGTCTGCGCGTGTGAACTATTAGAAAAAACGACGAAACAAGTGCTTTGATGTCAATATAAACCTCAAGTTATTTTGATCGCTTGGGTGCCTTATGAACTTGAGTGGCTGTCATCAACAGTCGGCTGGAATGAGCTGTAGTCAAAATCTCCCAAAAACTTCACAACGCATGACGTATCAGCATATTGTGATGGAAAAATATATAAAATGAAGATTCTGAAAGAAATTATAGGTTCAGAAGGGCTAGAACCCAGACCCGTAAAGCCAGTTAAATATAAAAAAAGCAAGCACGTGTTAAAAAAAAGTTACAGTCAAAGGATGTATATAGTAAATACCTAAATAAGGAAAGTGCTAATATTATATAGTATTTGTTATGTACTATTGTGTTTTGTTTAATATTGTGTGTATAAAATATATGCAATAACTGTTAGTATGAACTGTTAAGTGTGATACAAACTATTTAAAATGGTGAAGTTTGGCAAAAATAAATTCAAAGCATTAAACAAACTAACGAAAAACAGAAACGTCGCCCCTAATAATGTTACAAACAAGATATTAAAAAAGAAATTGAATGTAGAGAAGAAGGTGACTTTTCAAAAAGAAGTATTACTAAAAGAAACAGTAAAAAACGACACCTTAGTACATAACATTAAGAAGACAGAGCTACTTTTGAATAATCTATCAAAAAAGAGAGATGAAAAGAAAGTAACTATTCAGGAACCTGTCAATAAAACAAAAAAACTAAAACCTGTGGAAAAGCATAGAAAGCGACAACAGACACAGTTGAATGACACTAAACTACTCCTCAAGTTGATGAAAAAGAAGTAAGCAACTGAAAATATTTCAGGACTAATATCTAAATATATTTCTTTTTTTGTATTAATTTGTTAATATTTATAATATGAACTATTAAGCAAATTTATTAAAATAAATACACTATTTTAATTTAGTTATTCTTTTAATTTAGCGTAACTGGATTGCCACTGTCTATACCTTAAGGTATAATAATAATAGTCATCCGAAGTTAAAACTTGAAGACACCTATTAGTTTGCAGTATGTTGCAGAAACCTTTACGAGAGGAGTCTTGATCAATAAAACTATCAAAAACGTGGAATATAGGTGGACACCTAAATTCTCTCTAAGCCATTATCAATTATTGGTCAAATGCTGTGTTATTGAGTTGTTTATGATAAAACATACCATTGCTCATGTTACATACAGGTGTATCTCATTTTTTACAACTATACAGGAGAGCCCAAAAATGTTTTTATTTGACCGATTGGTGAATATTTTATGTTTTACTTTGATTATAAATCAAACTGTGTGGTTATTATGTCATATAGTTGGGGTTTCAGTATAATATCACATTAAGAAAATGATACAAGTATAAATGTATATAAAAAGGTTTTATATTCATATATGCCTATTTGTGAAGCCCCAATTCTAAAATATAGAAACAAGGCTGTAGTTATGCCCAAATTATTTCATATGAAAAATAAAATAAAAACATTATCATAAATAAGTTTTTTATTATAAGTTTATCAATAAAAAATATATTAATAGAGATCGGCTTTTTGAATCACCAAGACAATTATTAATATCGGAACATTGGATATGCTGCACAGTTAAAGATTTAACTTTCATTCATGAGACAGTCTTTGTACTCTTGAATTCTGATGATACCTGAGCAAAGACTTAAAAGATCAGCATATTTTGCCTTAGATATTTTTGATGTTCTAAATTTTTGCAAGGATGTCTTTTAAGCATTTAGCTTCTATTCTTTTTATGATTATATATCTATATGCTGTTTTCTGTATGGCTAGTTTTGAAAAATATTGTTATAGGCTCTTCTCTGCTTACACATATTTCAGCCATTTGTGTCCACTTAACATCATCACTGTTGTTGTCTTTTCGTTGAGAAAGTACTTTTAGTTTGCAAGAAAGCTCTTTAAAATGTTTAAAAATTTTATATTCTAATGGTCGAACAACATAAGGCTGAGCAAGTCGAGCCATCTTCATAACAGGGTACAACTGTGAGGGAAAAAATATATCCAACCTTTTTCGAAACATGAGCAATCACACTTTGTGCCTAATCTCCTTCGTTTTGCCTATGGTTTGGTGCAAAGAATCTGAGATATATTTGGTTAATATTTGTGCAGCTGTTGATGAACTTCAACAAAGCGCAGGCCACTATCAAATTTTTGTTTTGGCCTGCGCAAACATATGCATAAAGATATGCCGTTTTGACGCTAGCATCATTACAGTCTATAAAAAAAAGTTAGTGCTGTGTCAATTTCCGAAGAGCCATGTTTACTTTCCGTCTCTGGCCAGGTGAAGCAATAACAATCTCGAGAAGATAAAAAAGCAGGAAGAGCAAATAGCAAAATTATATACTGATAGATGTCTTTTATAGAAAATTGCTCCTGTTTTGGAGTTTGGCAAATATATAACTTGTTGAATATCAAAAGATGCACAAACTATTTTTTAATTATTATTTTGGTTCGCTTGTATATCTTTTGTTCCATGTCCACTACAAGTAAAAATGTGTTCTTGATATGATCAAAGCACAATAATATATAGCAGCGGAAACATAAACTAAATACTTCTTTTTGGCACTACATACTCATACAATGCCTCATATAGGGCTGTTTGTGTCGCCAAATTTTTAAAACATTACATTTGTTAATAGGCATTACTAAATGTACGCCTGTAAGTCAAGCCTCATTTCATTGTTCTTTGAGTTAAGCCTATTGCATATTTTGTAAACCAAAAGAGTTAGGAAAACACCCCTTTGTGATGACATAAAACAATGATATGTTCATTTTCGTGTATTTAACTCATTTTTCAATTTTAGTGAGATACGCCTGTTTGTAATGTGATACTATATGACTGACAAGTTAACAATATTAAATCCATTAATTAAAATGGAATTTAAAAAATCCTAGTAATTGAAGATTATAAAATTGTGTAATAAACTTTCAAAATATGTAATAAAACCAAGTTCAATCCCATTAGTAATTTTTGCAATTTTTGCATTTCTGCAATATTAAATGCTAATTTTCATAATGCATCGAGCATTGAATTATCAAAATTAGCACTTAAGGCAATGCAGTGGACCCCCTTCTAGGTACAAAAACAAGTCTGTCATAGCTCAAAGCTTAAGCACTCTCCATAAATGCTGTACATGTATATGAGTAACTAAGATTGGTCGCAGACTGCATCAATAAAACTTCCTTCTGAAACCATCCGAGGAATGAAATTTAAATAAATATTTGTATGTATGTATGTATGTATAGTAGGTAACCCATACAACCTCCGACCGAAGATACACAAACCAAACGCTCCACTACGCCCCATAGTGAGCCAGATTGATTCACCAACTTATAAGCTGGCACAATACTTAGCAAAAATACTATCACCACTGAGAGGACATACCAGAGCACACACAAAGGATTCGTACCATTTTGTGAGTGAGATAAAAGACCTACATCTCGCTAACAATGAAACTATGGTCAGTTTTGATGTTCAGTATGAAAATAACATGCCTCAAGAATATGCAATACTACTTGAACATTGCCTCACATCTGGCTATCTATTGTGGAAGGAGGAGTTCTACAAGCAAGTAGATGGTGTGGCGATGGGCTCACTTGTGTCTCCCATAGTCGCCGACATATTCATGGAGGACTTTGAGGAGAAAGCCCTTCTTACTGCTCCTGTAAATCCAAGGTTCTACAAGCGGTATGTAGACGACACTTTCACAATTTTACCATCTGACAAAGTAACTGCATTTTTAGACCACCTTAACTCCATAAACTCTAAAATACAATTCACAATGGAGTTAGAGACAAATAATTCTTTAGCCTTCCTGGATGTTTTAGTCATCCGAAATCCTGATAACACTATTGGTCACACTGTGTATAGGAAAAAGACCCATACCAACCGATATCTAAATGGTGAATCTCACCATCATCCCTCACAGTTAGCTACCGTGGGTAAATCTTTGTTTCAGATATCACGAGGGATCTGTGACAGAAAATATCTGGCCGCGGAGCTTCAGCATGTCAAGCAAGTATTGCAAAACAACAAGCTTCGGGTCCCGCGCCTACGTCACAGTGAACGAGTGAAGCCGGCCACAGTCGAGCGCGCGCCTACTCTACTACCATAGGTCAGAGGAGTCACGGACAAGATTGGCTACATCTTGAAGCGAGCGTCCATTAAGACATATTACAAGCCGCTGAAGAAGATAAGTCAATTTTTACCATCCATCAAATGTAATATTCCTCTACAAGATGCAGGTGCGTACAAGCTAGATTGTGAATGTGGTCTCTCTTACATAGGTCAAACAAAGAGATCTATAAAAACCCGCGTGAAGGAACATATAGCTGATGTGAAGCACCGACGCTCCGGTAAGTCTGCAGTCTGCGAACATGTTCAAGATCGTCCCCACCATTACATTAGATTTGATAAACCACAAATTCTCGCAAAAGAACACCGATTCCTACCAAAGATGATACGCGAGGCTATTGAAATTAAAAAACATCCAAATTTCAATAGAGAAGATGGTTGAGAGCTAGCATCTGCTTGGGATCCTATAATTAACAAAATTAAACCAAAACCCAAGCATACCACTGCAAGACTTCATGATACTATAAGCTCGTTTTGCGTAAATCGGACCAAAAATTAATATTAAAAAAACTGAAGGTAGCCGGACTAACTATGACATTGGGACGTCAAACATCTCAGTCCCCCCGTGACCATGGGTGCTGTAAAGCACCCGAAACGTCGGGATAATAATAAAAATAAATTAAAGTAATTAAACGCGATAAAATCCGTAAATAATAGTTTTATTCAACAAAGTAAGGATATTCTTGTCCCTTTGATTACTGACCTTGCCAACCTGTGTTTTCGCACAGGAAACTTCCCATAACTTCTTAAACGCTCCATTGTGACCCCTTTTTTTTTAACATGGGGAAATGCCTACGCATACCCGCCTCGCGGGGGCAAGGACGGGTTATGTCGGACTCGCACCGACTAAAACCCCATTGTGTTCCACCTTCGTCGCATATTGGCAGGGCTACGGGAACGCTTTCGCACACACCGCGGCCCCACCAGCGACTGCCGCCCCATGGCAGCACCTCTTCGGGAGAGGAATATTCCTCCCCGTTCTCCTTTCCAAGTAAGGCGCACCAGAACACATGGCACGCCTTCCTCCACGGCCTCCAATTACATCTGCGCAACAGACGCCCCCGCGTCCGATGCGCGAAGGCCATGGGGCCAGGAAAAACGAGCACTTAGAAGTACTAGCCTTCCCGACCCCAGCGGCGGATCTGGTCTATGGCTCCGCCGCCAACCAAGATTCGGCTGCGGAGGATAGGGAGAGCGGCGCCTCGCAATACCGACAATCCTCTCCCCCCGCCGCCCCATCACCACCGCATCAACGGTGCGGCCCCGTATGAGTCGCGGAGGATAGGGCGAGTGGCGCATCGCCATACCAACACTCCTCTTCCTCCGCGACTCCACCTCGGCTGCAGCGTTAGGTGGGGAGGACACACCTCTCACCGCAGTCCACCAACACACATCCGAAGTGGGCTTCCCAAGCCCACTCGGAGTGGCTACCTCGGGCCGGCCCTCCACCTCGGACCAGCCATATGGGTTCCTCTTTGTTTCGCCGTGGGTGACCAAGCCACGGCTTCTAAGCCCCCCCCGCCACGACAAGGCGGGAACCCGTTCGGGGGGGGTCCATTGTGACCCCTGTGTATAAGAGTGGAGATAGGGTAGACGTTAACAACTATCGACCTATCTCTGTGCTGGCCTCCATTTCTAAAAT